CTGCTTAATGACCTGTCTTTGGAACCAAACCGTGTTGATGAGATGGGTGTACAAGCCCTTTTGTACTATTTGATTTTTTTCATACCATATGTGCATTACTATACTTTAATAACATTAAAAGAATAAGAATATCAATGTAGGTATGAATGAATACCTTTAAGTTGGGTCCAGCCCTTGATAAAACTGTTGCAGTTGTTATGTCTGTCAAGTTAGTTGTGACTCATAACGACCCTAACATACAACAGAAAGTAATACTGCCTGGTCCTTTGTTAGCCTCAAAATCTTGGCTATCCATGAGCCTACTGCTGTAGCCTCTTTTTGCTGACTTTCTATTAAGCATGATGTCCATCTCCAGGGATTGGTCCCTTCTGATAACATGCCCATAGTACGTGAGACAAAATCTTGCTACCTTCGCTTGTAAGGAGCATTCTGGCTATACTTCTTCCAAGTCAGATTTGTTCATTTTTCTATCAGTTCACGGTATATTCAATACATTTTGCCAGTATCATAATTCAAATGCATCAATTCTTGGTCTTCCTTATTCATTGTTCTTCTCATTACCTTAAGTGGTAGATGTTTTACATCATTGTCGTCATCATCACAATGATAATTATTTTTAAATTTTTATTGTGATTTGGGTGAAACTTTAACAGAGCAAATTCATTTTCCATATAGCAGTTTATACATATTTTGTTTCATGACATTGACTGCAATCCCCACAGCTCTTTTCCCACTTCCTCCCTGTAGTTCTCTTCCCTATGTCCTTCTTTCCTATGCATTCCTGCCCTGAGTTATTTCCCTGTGAAAATATTGCCATTCTCTTCTCCCACCATTGATCATTCTAAGGAGTGTATCTACATGGTGTAAATAGTCACCCTATATGCCTACTTATTGTTTGGCTTGAAGCCACAGGAGTGAGTTCAATTCCAGGCCTTAAGTGTAACTAATGGCTATAGTCTTGGGCAGTCTCACTAGGCTCTATCAGACTAATAAACCTGTTTTTTTTTTTTTAGTTTTTTTCCACATTGTTCTCCAACTCTATCCAGGATTTCCTGCATTGATCCCTTTCCAAGTGGTTAACAGTCGTAGCCAGACATCATCTAGTTTTTCTGGTCTCATGATCATATAGCCTGAGGTTCACATGGTCCACTTGTCCCTTGGACTAATTGTTTCCACCCACATGTCTTTGGTTTTTTTCATTCTTCTTTGCTTTGGATGAGGAGAGATCAATTGTTGCATCTAGAAGGCCACTTGCAAGCTTTTAAGACCCCAGTCACTACTCACTAAAGCAGGATGTAGAACAATGTTTTTGTGCAGTAACAGTGATATTTATTAAGCACCCACATGTTTGGGGTGTTGTGCTAAACCCTGCTTAAATCAAGATGACATATTTGTAACAAAATATTTATCTTAGTAGGAGCTCTGGTAGCATAGTGGCTAAGGCACTTGACTACTAACCAGAAGGCTGGCGGTTCAAACCCACCAGCCACTCCTTGGAAGGAAGATGGGGAAATCTACTATCCGTAGTGATACTGCCTTGAAAACCCAAGGTGGGGTCGCTATGAGTCAGGTCCGACTCGATGGCATATAACAACAACAACAATTTAAGGTCCATCCTGATTCCAGCCTCAGTTAATAATCATTACTGAATTATACAAAAAGAATTAAATGAACCCAGAAAAGATAAAACCTATCTAGGTTTTATCTAGGTGACATTTACATCCAACCCTTTCCATTGTTTTTATAGTCTTCTTTCACTAGGGTTAGGTAAACTTATGTTCCCATCCAGTCAATTCTGATCATAGCGACCCCGTGTGTTTCAGAGTAAACTGTGCTCCACAGGGTTTTCAATGGCTGTATTTTTTTTTTCAGATCACCAAGCGTTTCTCTGATGCACCTCTGCGTGGACCTGAACCTCCAAACTTTGGGTTAGCAGCCATGCATGTTAACCATTGGCACCACACAGGGATGCTCAGCTGTTAGCCAAGAGGCTGCAATCCATTGGACTTCTGAGTCCATTCAGAAGCACCTAAGAAAAAAGCCCTGGCCATCTACTTTCAAAAAATCTCCCACTGAAAACCCTATCAAGCATAGTTCTATTCTGACACACATGGGGTTGTTAGGAGTTGTAACTGATTCCACAGCAACTGGGAGGAATAGGTGGGGGATGATTATTTGACAGTATATGAGAAAGAGGCCTTCTCTAGATAACCTCAAATTTTATCATCTTTACCAGGTTTACTGAATTATTTTTATGTAATAAAATACATACTAACTATTAACTGGAGCTGAAATCAGGACAGACCTTAAATTGTTATTGAGGTAATATTTTATTAACAAATAGGTCTTCTCGGTTTAAGCAGGGTTTAGCACAACACCCCAAGCATTGTTGTTGTTGTTATGTGCCGTCGAGTCGGCCCCGATTCATAGCGACCCCTCCTTGGGTTTCCGAGGCAGTATCACTACGGAAGTAGGATTGCCCAACCTTCCTTCCGAGGAGTGGCTGGTGGGTTTGAACCACCAGCCGTCTGGTTAGCAGGCAAGTGTCTTAGCCACTATGCTACCAGAGCTCCCCACCAAGCATATGGGTGCTTAATAAATATTACTGTGTGGTGATGGAAAATTTCTACAGACTTAAGGATTGTTGACTTACTCATACACCCTTAATTTACCTTCTTACAACACAGATGAAACTCATTAAGTTATTATGACAATTTTATATGCTTTAATCAACATGTTTGATATGGGCTAAACCAACATGTTGCCTATAATTAACAGCAAATTATTATTGTTTACATTATTATTAAATGATGTCCATCCACCAATATTATATAACTTATACAACAAAGTGTCTGCTTCCAAGAAGTGCAGCACATTATTTTATATTTCCTGAATCTCCTTTATTCAATACAAATTTTTTCCATGGGAAAAAAAAATATTGGTACTAACCCACACCCAAAAGTCTATTATTACTTAACATGAACAGTAATTTTATAGGTAGTTGTTATTGTTGTTATGTGCCGTGGAGTCGGACCCAACTCATACTGACCCCTCCTTGGGTTTCCGAGGCTGTATCCTACAGAAGCCCAACCCAACCTTCCTTCCGAGGAGTGGCTGGTGGGTAGAGAAAAAAAAAATTGTGCATCTCTCTATAGATAACAGCATTTTTTCCAATGATTTCTTGCAAGGGTATGAAATATCCAACAAAGAGATGATGGAATTTACTGAATGGAAAACTTTTCTGGGCAAGAACTCACCCTTCCCTAACCCTCTCCCCTCCTACCATTCAATATCTCAATAGAATCTGGAATATACTTTCATATTATGCTATAGCATACATATTTTCCTTGTATTTTTCCTATTAAGTTTACAAGAGGCCTATCTTTCTTTTTTTTTTTTTTTTCCACTTTTAAAAAATACTCAATTTTGGAGACTCTCCCTTCCCAGATTCCAAACAACTAGACAGCAAGATTGTTTGATTCATCTAAGTATGTTTCTCTGGAACTAGTTCAGTGTCTTGCTCATACTATAATGTATGTTTTAGTAATGAACACAATTTTTTCTTTCTACAATTTTACACTTAATTTAAGAAAACTTCAAAAAGTTCAAATAAACATAGAAACATCTGCCTCCCCAAATTTTATTTTTTACCTTATTTGTGATCACTAATAAGAATCAGCAGGAACAACTCCCCAACAAGACAGTGACATACAAGGTGTAATGATACAAAGAAGAAAAAGAAAGGAAAATCTTTTTTTGTTTAAATCACTTAAGACAACAATGGAGAAGCTGGTAAGTTTGGAGTAAAAACAATATGTATTTTGGAATGTAGATATTTATATTATAAAAAATATTACTTTTATAAAAGGAGACACTGTATTTGAATCCTGGCTCTGCCACTTGCTGGTTGTGAGACCTTGAGAAACCGACTCGACCTCTCTAAGCCTTAACGTGAGGCTCTATGAAAGTTGGTAACAACATCTACCTCGAGTAGAGGATTAAATTAGTTTGGATGAATAAGGGTAACCTAACATTGTATGAGGCATATACAAAGTGCTTAAGTGGTCCCTTATCATTAATGGCAAATGAAGTTAGGCAATTCCGTGTGTTAGTTAAAGCCTTAAAGATGAACGCGGATAAAAATTAAGGGTTTGAATTTTACTCAACTGTTGGCATAAGCCAGGGATATTAGCAGGCCTCTTGAAGTATTACTTTTTTACCTGATGATGTATTAATTGTTGTTGTTACGTGCTGTGGAGTCGGATCGACTCACAGCGACCCCTCCTTGGGTTTCCAAGGCAGTATCACTAGGGTAGCAGATTGCCCAACCTTCCTTCCGAGGAGTGGCTGGTGGTTCAACCCACCAGCCTTCTGGTTAGCAGTCAAGCGCCTTAGGCACTATGCTACCAGAGCTCCCGGTGTTTCAATAACCAAGTTTAAACGCTAATAACTTAACCGCTCACATCATTTTATTCTAGGCTGACTACTGTGAACTCGGAGAAAATATTTCCTCACAGGGACTACTATTACCAAAAATGAAACTCACTGAGGTGGAGTGGGTCCAACTCATAGTAACCCCTCCTTGGGTTTCTGAAGCAGTATCTCTACAGAAGTAGATTGCCCAGTCTTCCTTCCTAGGAGTGGCTGGTGGCATTGAACCGCCAGCCTTCTTCTGGTTAGCAGTCAAACGTATTATCTATAAAACAAAAATACTGTTTAACGCAGAGCATTTTCAGTGAGTGCTTTTGCTGTGGTTGAAGAGAACGTGTTACGTTCAGGATATTGAACAGGAGCCAAGTCAGAGCATGAGACATATTATCCCAAATTCAGCGAAACACCAAAACGACCTTAAAAACTTCGAGAAGTCACCGCCGGCATCGTTCTCAATACACCTTTACGGCAAAGATTGGGGCGCAGAGCTGTGCGACAGGGGCGGGATGCGGCCGTATTGCGGCCGTAAAGCGCGGTGAAGACCACGTGGGTTGAGGTCACCGTTGAACATTCTCGGTCTTGGGTAATGGCGGGACGGGTGCCCGGCGGCCGGGAGAGAGCCCTAGAACTACTGCGGGCCCTGCCGAGAGTTAGCCTGGCTAACTTAAAGCCGAATCCTGGCTCCAGGAAACTGGTAAATGGCTCATGGCGGTGCGGGAAGCATGGGGGACAGGGGCTATTGAAGCAACCCTCCACTCTCGTCTCCCAGTTTTAGAGTAGTGTTGGGGATGACCTTGGGGTTACTGAAACCATGTCCTCCTTCACTGAACGGAGGAAAATCCATTTGGCCCCAGTTTTTAAAAAAGGTTTCCGTTTGGGAGCGTGAATGTTAAGGCGGATAAGCAAACTGGCAGAAACTACAATGGTTGTTCCATTCAAAATCTTATTTAAAATGAAGTGCTTTCTCAGTATATCTTTATTTTCATTGGAGAGATCTACATTGATGTACTGTTTTAAATATCTCTTCTGTGGCTCACTGAATACAGCTAGAAAAATTAGTAGTTGACATACTGTTACTTTTACAGATTGAATTCGTTGCTGTTAGGAAGTGACAGGAAGTAAATTAAAATACTTTTCTTTATAAGTTACTCTTCAAATAAAATAATATATATGGATGACAGTTAAATTTTTACTATTACAAAATAAGTTTTTTTTTCTTTCTTGAATATCATGTAAAGTTTGTGTGGATGTTTAATTCTACTTTTTTTCTGTTTGTTTTACATTCAACATTAAATGTAAATTTAGTTTCACTTCCCATTTACCATCCCCAACCCTAACCCAGTCTCCTCCCCTCCCTGCCCAGTAACCTCTCCCCCTCATAATTATGTCCTCCTGTGTGTCCTGCATTTCCTCCATGCGAATGTTGCCCCTCTGGTGCCCCTGGTCGATTGCGCCAAGGGATGCATTTCCATAGAGTATGTGGGTACCTCACCCTGGCTTGAGTGGTCTGTGTGCATCTTGTTTACTATTGGGCTGAGAGCTAGCCCCTGGGAGTGAATTTTATTCCAGGCCCAGAATGTATCCCAGGGCCATAGTATTGGGGGGTGTCACCACACTCCATCCCACCAGTAATGCCTAAGGCACTTGACTGCTAACCATAAGGCTGGAGGTTCAAACCCACCAGCCACTCCTCGGAAGGAAGGTGGGGCAATCTACTTACGTAGTGATACTGCCTCGGAAACCCAAGGAGGGTTCGCTATGAGTCGTGTTCAACTCCACGGCACATAACAACAACCTTGAGTTTTTGGCTTTTGTTTCACATTTTTCATTCCACTCTATCCAGGATCTCCAGATTTGATCCTTTCCTGAGTGGCTGGCATTGGTAGCTGGGCACCATCTAGTTCTTCTGGTCTCAAGGGCCATCGTGTTCTAGGCCCTCTGAGGGATTACTCTATGTCTGTCTTCTGTTGTTTCTGTAAGGATTGCAGGTATTTTGTATCACTGGTATCTCTGCAAGATTAGCCTCCGCTGAATCTATCATTGGTCTAGGCTCTACTCCTGTTCACTGACCCCCATCTGATCTTCTCATATGTTTGTGTGTTTATCTGTAGCCTGGTGTTTGGTGTTAATGGTAATGCAGTATTGTGTATATTGGTTGGTATTAGCATCTGTCATCTATATCTTATGGGCACAATTATGTGTCCTCCCTTTTCCTAATGTTATCATGGTGGCCACAGACTCTTTCTATACCATCTCTCCCCTTACCCACGTCAGTGTGTGGCCCCTAACTAGCCCAAAATTAATCCCTCCCCTTCCCTCCCCACCCTGGTAGTCTACAAAGTTAGTTCCCTTTCTCAAGCAAACCCTTGTCTTTTTACAGTAATGGGCTCATATAATATTTGTCCTTCTGAGATTGACTTACTTCACTCAGCATAATGTCCTCCAGGCTCATCTACATTGTGAGATGATTCACATATCCTTCATTGTTCTTTAAGGTAGCACAGTATTCCATATTCTACTTTTTTTTTTTTTTTCCAACTTTAGGCTGTGATAAAGCCCCTTTCCCCAGCCCTTTCATGAAACTTTGCTGTTGAAACACAGGTTGGACTTGGTAAAATAATTAGCTACAGTTCATAGGGAAAGATACTGAGGTAGAATGTATAGCTAGAACAGTGCCCTGCACAGTAATACATGACTAGTCATCATTGGTTGGTTTGATGAATGAAAGGCATAACAACAACAAAATACAGTAAAGAGGTGAGTTGCAGTTTTAAAAATGCATCCATAAATCATAAAACTTCCTTATTTCCTTGTAGGAGAGAAGACCGAGAGGTCGTCGGAGAGGTAGAAAATGTGGCAGAGGCCACAAAGGAGAAAGGCAGAGAGGAACACGGCCTCGACTGGGCTTTGAGGGAGGCCAAACTCCTTTTTACATCCGAATTCCAAAATACGGGTTTAATGAAGGACATAGGTAAGATTTCTCTGCGTTTTAAAATAGAAACTCCTAATTTTCACTGGAATCACCTAAAAAATAACTTGGTAGAAATTTAAGTGCACTTTGAAACAAACTTTTGCTGATATTCCTCTGAATAGTAGTATTTTCATACCTCACAGTATATCAATACCAAAAGAAAAAAAAAAAAAAACTCGCTGCTATCAAGTTGATTCTGACTCTAGTGACTGTTGACTGTTCTATAGGTTTCAAGACTATAAATCTTAACAGAAGCAGACTGGTTCATCTTTCTTCCATGGAGCAGCTGGTGGGTTTGAACCACCACGTTTTTTGGTCAGCAACAAAATGCCTTAACCACTACACCACAAGATCTCCTTATTACATCAGTTGTTGTTTCGTGCCTTTGAGTCAAACTAAATAGTTCAGTCCATATGGTAATAATTTACCACTCACATTATTTTATTCTGGGTTCCACATTGAGCTCAGAGAAGACATTGCCTCACACGGACCTGCAAGACAAAATATTCAAGACCAAACATAGATTAACATAATGTCTAACATATTTGATAATGAAAATTAGCCTGGTCTATTGCTGTTATTTGCTGTCAAGTGGATTTCGGCTTATGGTGAACCCATGTGTGCAGGGTAGATTGCTCTGCAGGATTTTCCAGGCTGTGACCTTTTGGAAGCAGATCTCCAGGCCTTTCTTCTGAGGCAGCTTTGAGTGGGTTCGAACCATCAACCATTTGGCTATTCATTAAGCACTTAACTGTTTTTGCCACCCAGAATCTTAGCATGGATTAGTAGGGATAAAACCTTAAACTCAGATCTCCCAAGTGGAGAAAATAATACCTGCTCTTGTGATTGGAGGATTAGCAATAATATATAAAATGTACGGGCTCTTGTATTCATCTAATAAATAATAATGGCAGTTATTACTTTGAGCTCCATTAATATATATCTTAATGAGTGAGTGAAGTAAATGCTTAGAGAGGTAATTAATTTTTTTAGTGTTTTTAGTGAAATGAAGTACTCAGTTCATTTCATTACCAATGTTATGTAGCAATATTACCTGTTTGTGTTGGTCTTACGAGCCCTGGTGGTGCAATGATTAAGTGCTTGGCTGCTAACTGAAATTTCAGTGGTTTGAACCCACTAGCCACTTTGTGGGAGAAAGATGTGGTGGTCTGCTTCTCTAAAGATTAGCCTTGTGTAGCCTATGGGGCAGTTCTACTCTTTTCTGTGGGGTTGCTATGACTCAGAATTGCCTAGGTGGCAGTGGATTTTTTTTTTTTTTTTTTTATTGGTTTAGGGTTTGTACTCAGGAGGGTTTTAGTCTGTTAAATTGGTGGAGGAAAACACAGGAGAAAACTTTGACTTGAAGAAGTGACAAAGATTGATTTGACTGAGTTTTCTGACTGTTACTTTTCTGCTTATAGCTTCAGACACCAGTATCAGCCCTTGAGTCTCAATAGACTTCAGTATCTTATTGACTTGGGTCGAGTTGATCCTACTCAACCTATTGACTTAACCCAGCTTGTCAATGGGAGAGGTGTGACCATCCAGCCACTTAAAAGGGATTATGGTGTCCAGCTGGTAGAGGAGGTGAGTCTGAATGAAATCTGTGGGGTAACATAGAAGGATATTTTTGAGTTCTACATAACTCTGTACCCTTTATTTCTATCCCTTTGAGTTACATAGTGGTGGTGGTGTTGTTGTGTGCCGTTATTCCCAGATGTTTTGAAAAGCCAGGCTTGCTTTCATCTCCGGGCTCTGCAGTGACTCTTTCCTTTGCCTAGAATGCACTACTCCTATATGTCCTTGTGACTGGTTCCTTCACTTCCTTTGGTTTTCAACTCAAATATCAGAAAGATTTTTTTTTAATATCCTTGTATAGAAGAATATTACCCTTTGTCATAGTTATGTTTGTGTGTCAACTTGGCTGGGCCTGGTTGAGTGGCTGGGCAGCTGGTGGTAGTTATTCTCCATGATGAGACTGGCAATCAGCTCCATGGTGGGATCTACCACAAGCAGCTGAGTAGATGCCTTTGGGATGTGGTCTGCTTCCTGTATATAAGGAGAAGCCTTGGGAATGGTCTCTAGCCTATGGCACGCTTGGACCCTGCATGTAGCCATGTCGTTGCTCAGCAGCCTGCTATGCTCTGCTGACCTTGGGACTTACAATGGACTTAAGTTAATGGCCTGCCGTGTGGTTTGGTAACATTGGGACTGTGCCTTTTTACTTGTCAACCTTGGGGCTTCTCAGCAGCTAGCAGCTGTCTGAGTGCAGAAATGCCTCTAGCTCCAGTGGGCCAGGAGCAGGAGGCAGAGCTAGATCCCAAAGTTGAGGGGCTTTCGCCCAGCCCCGAGAGCCTGGCACTTTGAACTTGGACTTAAAACCTCCAAATTGTAAGAATAAACTCCTGTTTGTTAAGGCCATCCCATTTGTGGTAATTTTTGTCAGAGTGGCACTAGGTAATCAGAACACCCTTAGTTTTGCCCCAGGCACAATCTGTCTTACCCTATTGTTCTTTGACTATATATGAACACCTGATATTTATTACTAATTATTAATTTATTTTTCATTGTCTCCCTCACTAGAATATAAGCTCCTTGAGGCTAGGTGCCTTGTTTGATTCATTGCTATATTTTCAATATTGGAAACATTGGCATGTGATGGTCACTCAGTAAATATTTATGGAGGAAAAGAATAAATCAAATCCAATTTCAGTTGCATCAAAGAAGTTTGCTACTAATAGGAATTGACCAACTGTTTCATGAGCAAACTTTTGTACAATCAACTACTGCCTTTTACATGTCAATAATATAGCTATGTAGGTAACTTAAGGGGCTCTGGTGGTATAGTGAGTAAGGCATTTGGATGCTGACCAGAAGAAGGTCAGTGGTTCAAACTCTCTAGTTGTTCCACAAGACAAGGATGAAGCAATCTACTTCCCTAAAGATTTACAGCCTTGGAAACCCAATGGGGGTGGGGGTCGCTTTGAGTTGGAATCAACTCAATGACAGTGGGTTTGGTTTTTGGTAAATAACTTACTGCCTGTTAGAGGGAAATAGGGAGCTCTGGTGGTATTGTGGATAAGGCATTTGACTGCTAACCAGAAGGCTAGAGATTCAAACCCACCAAGCCACTCCTTGGAAGGAAGATTGGGGCAGTCTACTTCCGTAGAGATACCGCCTCAGAAACCCAAAGAGGGGTCACTATGAGTCTGATTTGACTCAATGGCAGTGAGTTTGGTTTGGAGAGGGAAACATACAAAAGCCTTTTAGATTCTTTTGAAAAAGTGAATCTGTGGATAAAAAGCTATCCTAATAAAAGAATTTGGAAAGAGAATACTAATTACAGGATAACCTCAGTACTATTCTACTTTGGGTGGTTATAGGAAGAGAATATACAGATGTAAGTTTCCATATAAATTAACACATGGAAAAATTTATGAGTGCATTGTTAAATTGTACATCTAAACATCCTCAGTAACTATAATTATGATACTAGTAAAAGTAATTCTTAAAATTCTAAACAAGGTTGTAGTTGAATAAATATAGTTACTGTATTTTTCTCAAATAACATGTCCACTGAGCACACACATGTAGAAAACTTAATGGGTGAGGGGATTTTATGGTTTGCCACAAAAACCCGAACACTGTATACTATGTGCATTATTTGTGTAAAAATGTGGCATGCATCATTTATAGCCTTGTAAATTGGTTTACTTATCTGGATTTCAGATTTGCAGTAAATAGTGGATAATAAGACTGTTTTGGCACAGAATTACCAATTTGGGAGTATATGTTCTCAAGGAAGAAAACAAAAGGAACTTAATTGATATGAAGACATTTTTTAAAATGCTACCTAAAGTCCTGGGACCAACCCCAAGAATGGGAAGATGGTTAGGCAATCTATTGAATAAAACCCCTGCCACAAGTAATTTCTGATTCATAGCAACACTGTAGGAGAGTAGAACTGTCCCATAGCGTTTCAAAGGCTTCAAATCTTTATGGAAGCAGACTCCTTCATCTTTCTCCCATAGAGTGGCTGGTGGATTTGAACCACTGACCTTTTGGTCAGCAGCTGAATGCTTTAACCACTGCTCCACCAGAGCTCTTTAATCCATGAATAGTAATTAGAAATGATAAATAATATGGCAACACCCTAATATTATTGAATCAGAGGTGCCATTGCTTTGGAGACAGTTTGTTTCAGCCACAGCAAAATAGTGAAAAATTTTCTGTTGCCACAAAAAGAATGGTAATGCCCCTATCTTTTTATTTTTATCAAAATTTGTTTTGAAATTAGAGAAGAAGGAAGACACATCCTGACTAATGTGACCAAACCCAGAACTTTAAAAAGTTTAACACTATGTTTTTTAGCATTAAATGCTTTAGGGAAAGATAAGTTTACTTTTTTTGTGGGTGTAAAGGCTGTAATAAAATCAGTGGTGAATACAAAGTAATTTCTGATGTCCTCTTGCCTTTTTACCTGGGTGACGGACCCCTTTGGAGCTCAGATGCAATATCAGATATTCTGTGTTTTTGTCTGCTCTAGCCCCACTTGTCTACCTCTTTAGCCTACTGATGGCCTTTTGTTTAGGGATGTTGTTGTTATGTGCCCTGGAGTCAGACCTGACCCATAGCAACCCCTCCTTGGGTTTCCGAGGCAGTATCACTACGGAATTAGATTGCCCAACCTTCCTTCCGAGGAGTGGCTGGTGGGTTTGGAGTGGCTGGCTTCTATAGCAGTCAAGTGCCCTAGGCACTATGCTACCAGAGCTCCCTTGTTTAGGGATAAGTAAGATCAGTTTTTATCTGTATTACATAGCATAATGTTGTGGTAGAGAACACAGACACTGTGACTTGATTCCCTGGCCTAGAATCCTTGCTTTGTGACCTCAGGCAGGCCTCTTTGTGTTCCATTGTCCCAATATACAAAGTTGGGATAGCAATAATACCTATCATAGTGTTATTAGGAGGAGCTCTGGTGGCGTAGTGCCTAAGGCATTTGACTGCTAACCAGAAAGCTACCAGTTCAAACCCACCAGGTACTCCTCTGAAGGAAGGTTGGGCAATCTACTGCCGTAGTGATATCGCCTCGGAAACCCAAGGAGAGGTCGCTGTGAGTTGGATCCGACTCCATGACGGTGGATTTTTTTTCGTTTTTTTTTTTTTTTTTTTGTGGGGCTTGTTAGGAGAATGAGACAGTTTAGTATTCGTGAAGCACTTGATCCACAAAACAAATGTAATGAAGAAGCAGTCATCCATAAACCAAAAACCAAACCCACTGGCATCGAGTCGATTCCGACTCATAGCAACCCCATTGGGTTTCTGAGGTCGTAAATCTTTACGGAAGTAGATCGCCTGTTCTTCCCTGTGTGGAGTAGCTGGGAGATTTTAACCGCCAACCTTCGGGTTAGCAGTCAAATGCCTCAGGCACTGCACGACTTTTTTTTTTTTTTTTTTTAATGAAAAGTGGTAAAATGGAGTGGCCTAAAGATGTAAAACACATGTTGGAACCTCAAAGTACAGGTATTTAAAGTGGGAATTACTGTTACATTGTAGACAGTTTGGAAGAGAAAGCACTGTTCCAAAAAAGAAGCTTGCCAAATTAATTTATTTTTAGCCAAGCTATCTGCTAACAGATTTGTTGACATTTTACAGGGTGTGGACACCTTCACAGCTAAAGTTAATATTGAAGTGCAGTTGGCTTCAGAACTTGCCATTGCTGCAATTGAAAAAAATGGTGGTGTTGTTACTACAGCCTTCTATGATCCCAGAAGTCTAGGTAAGCTCATGATGCAGTGTTTGTGTTCTCTCCCTGTTTATCTTATCCAGGCTGCTACTTTCTTACTAATTGTTGTTGTTGTTATGTTTTGTTGAGTCAACCTGACTCATAGCGACCCTCCTTGGGTTTCTGAGGCAGTAAGTATCACTATGGAGGTAGATTGCCCCATCTTCCTTCTGAGGAGTTGCTGGTGGGTTTGAACCACCAGCCCTCTGGTTAGCAGTGCAGTGCCTTAGGCACTACACTACCAGAGCTCCCTATACTGGTAGTTCTTGTTTGATCTGTATCTATCATATGGGGCCATCATGACGTATATGTATAAAACACATAGCTGACAGATGTGACGGCACAGAAAAAGGCAGAAAAGACTCAGCCCCTCTCTGAGGTCCAGACCTACAGCTACCTGTCCATTTGACATCTCCACTGGAATATAGTAGGTGTTTCATACTTAGCATGTCTGACACTTCTGTTCTTTTTCATTTCAACCTCCTCTTTTTGCAGTCTTCCCCATTTTTGTCTTTTGGGGTTTTTTTGTTAGACTATTTGGAGTCATCTTGACTTTTCTCTTTCCTTCATATCCTAATAAATCTTGTACAAAGTTGTGAAGTCTGTTTTCAAAATATGTCCAGAATCCAACTGCTTTTGATCACCTCCAGCTTCTGCCAGCGTGGCCCAACCACCAATATCTCTTGCCTAGATTACTGGGATGCCTTCTGTCTGGCCTCTCTACTTCTGCTCTTGTCTACAATGTAATGACACAGCAGAGGGTTCCCTTTAAAACGTATACTGAATAAGAATTGTCACTCTGCACAAAACTTCCAATGATGTCCATCCATCCCTACAAGGTTGTGTGTAACCTGTGCCTCCTCTTACCTCTCCTCCTCCTATTTCCCCTGCTTGTACAGGTCTATCACTGGGCACCTGTCCTGGCCTCCCTCCACACTTGTTCCACTCCATCTCGGTTCTTTGTCTGTGCTCTTCTCTCTGCCTGGAGGGTCCATTCACCTAGAGTCCTCATGGCTCTCAGCTCTGTTCTTTTAGATCTCTCCTTGTTCTTGATCCACCCTTACTAGGTGGATCTCTGTTCTTTTAGATCCACCTAATAAGGGTATTAGTAAATTGTCTCTTGCCTATTCTGAGTAAAAGAGTGTACACATACAAATACAACATACTCTAATATACACACACACCCCAGCACCACACATACACACAGCAACATCACATATGTGGACACTATGTACACAAATACCACACACACGAACTACACCTGCATATGCAAACAATACACACATACAAAAAAACACATACACACACCACATACATGAACACCACACATACAGTCACTTCCTGGTTCGCTTGTCCTGTGTAAGGTTTGCCCTTGACAGCGTCACTAGGTGACAAGGTATAATTTTATTTTTCTTTCATCCTCTTTCTCTCCCACTGCTGTACCTCTAACATGTAGAGCAGTGCCTGTTGTTGGGTAGGCTTACTTAAAAGTTGTTTAATGAATGAACTGGATTTTTAAGGCTGTAAAGATTCAAACCAAATGTAGCTTCTTGACTAAATGGTTTCACAAAGGATTCTTAATGCTTTTACATTTAAATTGTTAGGTGCTGTCGAGTCAGCTCCAACTCATAGTGACCCTATGTGCAACAGAACGAAACACTGCATGGTCCTGTGCCAGCCTCATAATTCTTGCTATACCCGAGCCCATTGTTGTAGCCACTGTGTCAGTCCATCTCTTTGAGGACCTTCCCCTTTTTGTTGACCTTCCACTTCACCAAGCATGATAATCCTTCTCCAGGGAATGATCCCTTCTGACAATATGACCAGAGTAGGTGAGATGAAATCTCGGCATTCTTGCTCCCAAGGAGCGTTCTGGCTGCACTTCTTCCAGGATGGATTTGTTCTTCTGGCAGTCCATGGTACTTTCAGTAGTCCTCGCCAACACCACAAGTCAGAAGCATCATCTCTTCTTTGGTCTTCTTTATTCATTGTCCAGCTTTCACATGTATGTGAGGCAGCTGAAAACACCATGTCTTGGATTAGGTGCACCTTAGTCTTTAAAGAGACATCTTTTCTCTTCAACACTTTAAAGAGGACTTTTGCAGCAGATTTTCTCAGTGCAATACGTGATTTGATTTCTTGACTGCTGCTTCCATTTGTGTTGATTATGGACCCAAGTAATATGAAGTATTTGACAAATTCAGTCTTCTTTCCATTTATTATGATGCTGCTTATTATAGGTCCAGTTGTGAGGATCTTCATTTGACTAATTTCACTCAGCGTTATGTCCTCTAGGTTCATCCATGTCATGAGGTGTTTTGCAGATTCATTGTTGCTCCTTAACGTTGCGTAGCATTCCATTGTATGTACATACCATAGTTTGTTTATCCATTCATCTGTTGATAAGCAGTTAGATTGTTTACATCTTTTTGCTGTTGTGAATAACGCTGCCATGAGCCAAAACCAAAAAAGCAAACTCACTGCCGTGGAGCTGGATCCGACTCATAGCAACCCCTCCTTGGGCGAGGTGGTATCACTATGGAAGTAGATCGCCCAATCTTCCTTCCGAGGAGTGGCTGGTGGGTTTGAACTGCCAGCCTTCTGGTTAGCAGTCAAATGCATGGGTGTGCATATGTCTGTTGGTGTCATGGCTCTTACTTCTCTAGGGTAAATATCTAATATTAGGATTGCTGGATAATACTGTATTTCTATTTCCAACTTAAGGAAGCACCGTACTTACTGTTTTCCACAGTGGTTATACCCTTTTACACTCTGACCAGCAGTGTGTGAGGGATCCAGTCTCTCCACACTTTCACCAGCCTTTGTTGTTTTCTGTTTTTTTTTTTTTTTTTTTTAATCTTTTCTATTAACGCTGAGTTGAGATGATATTGTTGTTTTGATTTGCATCTTCCTAATGGCTAATAGTCCCTCAGTGGTCTAGTGGCTAGGATTCGGCGCCTTCACTGCTGTGGCTTGGGTTCAATTCCTGGTCAGGAAAACACTTTGGGAGCTCTGATAGCATAGTGGCTAAGGCACTTGACTGATAACCAGAAGGCTGGCGGTTCAAACCCACCAGCCACTCCTCAGAAGGAAGATGGGGCAATCTACCTCCGTAGTGATACTGCCTCGGAAACCCAAGGAGGGGTCACTATGAGTCGGGTCCGGCTGAGTGGCACATAACAACAACAACAACAACAAATGTCTAATAATCACGAGCATTTCTTTATGTGTTTTTTGGCCTCCTGAATGCCTTTTTTGGTGAAGTGTCTGTTCTTGTTCTTTACCCATTTTTTTAATTGGATTGCTTGTCTTTTTTTTTGAAGTGTTGAAATTTTTTGTAAATTTTGGAGATTAGTCCTTTGTATGCTGTATTGTAGGCCAACATTTTGTTTTCCTAGTCTGTTGGTTCTCTCTTTACACTTTTGACAAAGTCTTGATGCACATAAATATTTAATTTTTAGGTGGTTCCAATCTTTTAGCTTGCCTTCTGCCATCTGTGCATTTTTAGTTGTGTTTGATAGTATATTTATGCCATATGGTAGGGTTCCTAAGTTTGCCCATTTTTTCTTTGATGATCTTTATAGTTTTGGGTTTTATATTTAGGACTTTGATCCATCTAGAGTTTGTTTTGGTATATGGTGTGAGATATGGATCCTATTTTATTTTTGTGTAAGTGGCTATCCAGTTTTGCTGGCACCATTTGTTAAAGAGACTATCTCTTCCCTATTTAATGGGCTTTGGAGCTTTATCAAAAATCAGTTGTCTTTAGGTGGTTGGATTTACTTCTAGGTTCTCAATCCTGTTCATTTGGTCCATGTGTCTGTCTTTGTACCAATACCAGACTATTTGGACTCTGTGGCTGTTTTGTAGGTTTTGAGATTGGGAAGTGTAAGGCCACTTACTTTTTTCTTCTATAGTGGTATTTTGCTTATCTGAGGTCTCTTTCTTTATGAGAAAAAGAAAGAAGATACTTCTTTTAAAATAGCTATATGAAAGGAAATAATGGAAAGCATTTGTAGCCTCTGTGTAAAGCATTTGGAACAAATAACTACCATTTCATTTTCCTCATAATTGAAAATTTGTAAAAAAAAAAAATACTTATCAACATAAATCTCATCTCCTTTTTGTCATTATAGATGAGCTTTTCTTATTTGGTTATTCACAAACATTTGAAAGACTTTTTGGCATCAGTAGAATGTTTTCAGGCAGTGTTACCACAAAATGTGGTGTTGATGTTTTTGTTCCACAGATAGGGCCCATCAGTTTCTGTAAGCAAGCATCCTAGGTGGTGTCATTGGCTTGTGGTTTGGCCTGTGGTAGTTCTGCTGATGGCACTCCTGAATACTCTTCTGCATCATCTCTGAAGCCTTTTCATTAAAAAATAAAACTAAGTTAAACAAGCTTATTCCTGGTGGCGTAGTGCCTAAGGCATTTGACTGCTAACCAGAAGGCTGGTGGTGGCAGTTCAAACCCACAGCCACTCCTCAGAAGGAAGATTGGGCAATCTACTTCTGTAGAGATACCGCCTCAGAAACTCAAGGAGGTGTCACTATGAGTTGGGACCGACTTGACAGCAGTGAATTTTGGATTCCTGGCCTTAGCATTCAGTAATAATTTTATCTCCAGATAATTTAGTTGGTTGTAATTGGGTTTCCAAAGTTACAAAAAAAAATTGAATGCACATTTTTCTTTCCTTTCTGCTAGAGTTATGTTAAGAGTAAGAAGAAAGAGTTCTCTCTCTTTTGTGAGCCCACCAGAAGAAAGTTTATTGAATCAAATTTTTAAAGTTTAAAATGAACTATATTTTCTTTTGAGGAAAGGTAGCTACATACACATTTGATGAGATGACTTTCGTCATGGTGCATAATGCCTTATTTATCCTGTATTCTTGTAAGACAGGCAGCCATAAGTATGTGTTCCTGATTTAGTAGAACTTTGAATAGCTACAGCCAGTGTGTTTTAGACCTTAAAGGAATTTCCAGGGGTGGTGCTGCAGGTGCATCTAGTCCACTTGGTGCTTGTAGTCTAATGCTCACAAGATCATGTACATACTTACCAGTAGTGCTGCTGGGAATATGAGGTTATTCACATGAGGTTATTCCACTATTCTGTGCCTCTTTTATCCATTGCTTACTGTACTGTGTCAGTTGCCTTCAAATCAGCCTTCTATGGTTTCAGTGGCTGGTGTTTTGGAAGTAGATTGCCAGCCTTTCTTCCAAGGTGCCTCTATGTTGACTCAAACCTCCATCCTTTCAGTTAGCCACTGAGTGTGTTAACTGTTAACCCTTTGTACCACCCAGAGACTTCATATACTTCATAATTTCTTTTTAAAAAAATTTTTTTTTTGGGGGGGGAAGGGGGTACGTCACCTAAAATATTTCACAAACTTCTTTCTTAAACCTGTTTTAAAGATAATTTCATGAGTTAAGAATTTCATAAGTTAAGTAACTCAAATATATAGTTACTCTCTGTAGTGGATGAGGTATGTATGCTCGTTCATCCAGGGCATTCATTGGCTTTTGATGGCTCTGCTTTTGTAATCCGTGGTCATGTCTCTTACTTTATATGCTGTATCTAGTTCTCATTTCTATTCGTGGCATGCCTGGAGAACTCTTCCCTTTCTAATTGCCATTTCTCATTTGCTCTGTGTGGGGATACTACTAGGTAGCCAGATGTATTAGAGTTGTATAAAACTACCACATTCTTGCATCCAGCATATATTTATTCATTGGCTAGTGTTTACCAGACACAGGTGTAGATGACAGAGAGATAATAGTGCATATGAATCAATAATCCTTTCCTTCACAGAGCTTATATTTTGATGGATGATAGTTAACATGTATTGATATAATTGGGAAATATATGATGTATTGTATGGATTAAATCAGGTCACCTTCATAACTGCCCTGTGAGGTATGCATAAATATTTTCAGGATCTCAGTAAGTTTTTTAGGACTATTTTGGGTTTATGTGACCTCTCCTGTGTTTCCAGCTAACCTTTGGTAGAAGGTTGTCATTGTATTCATACAATTACATGTTTTTAATTATCTGTAGTATTTTATGTATAGGCCTTTCCTCCCTGCCTTACCTTCCCCATATTTGCACATCAAAGCATGTGGTTTGAAGTTTAAAGAAGAAATCTGAGCTGGGATTCTGCAGTGTTCTTTCAAGACAGAGTGTGTGGATAGTTGTTGCTTATTTTCACTTACTGTTTCTTTGCCTACTGTTAAAAGGATTCATTTTAGTAAAGGATATTCTGGAAACCTTAATGATTCTGCCCAGTGTTATAAACAAGTCAGACCCATGCTAGGGTTTGAAGTCTTCCTGGCCCTTTGACTTGAAATGTGGAGACCTTGATGTTTAGTTTGAAAATTTTTGATTAATAGTGTGGCCCATGGGCTCTGGGGAGGCCTATTTTGTTCTAAACATATCTCATCATGTATGTCACAAAAATGTTTTGTTTTTGTGTTTAAACAGGGAGCTTAAGTACCGAAACCAAACTAAACTCACTGCCGTCCAGTCGGTCCCGACTCATAGTGGTTCATCCTTGGGTTTCCGAGGCAATTATCTCTATGGAAGTAGATTGCCCAGTCTTCCTTCAGAGGAGTGGCTGGTGGGTTTGAACCTTTTTAGCCTTCTAGTTAGCAATCATATGCCTTAGGCACTACGCCACCAGAGCTTAAATACAGTATTACGTATTTTAGAAATTTCAGTAATCATTGGTAGCCCAGGAGTAACTATGACTTTCAAGAGGCAAATTATTGAAAATGAAGCTTTTCCTATTTGCTTACTTCAGACAAGTCTATTCAATAAAAAAACTCTTGAAATAGTGTTCTACTCTTGGTAATACTTCAAAATGAATAATTAAAAGAACATCTATAATATAGTCTTTATGTGCATAGCCATTATTTGCTCTCTCCAATTTTTTTTTTTTTTTTTTAGAAATTTTGTGCAAACCTATTCCATTCTTTCTGCGTGGACAACCCATTCCAAAACGAATGCTTCCACCTGAAGCACTGGTACCATATTACACAGATGCAAGGAATCGTGGTTATCTGGCGGATCCTGGTGAATTTCCTGCAGCAAGACTTGAACTTGCCAAGAAGTATGGTTATATTTTACCCGATATCACGAAAGATGAACTCTTCAAAATGCTCAGTGCTCGAAAGGATCCACGGCAGATCTTCTTTGGTCTTGCTCCAGGCTGGGTGGTGAATATGGCTGAAAAGAAAATCCTTAAGCCCAAAGATGAGAATCTCATCAAGTATTACAGCTCATGAGTCCCCTTCCAAGGGAGCAGTGTTGTTTGAGAATGCTGGAAAGGGACGGACACACACGTATTTCTCGTGGACTTCTCTAATGTCGTCTAATTCTCTAGATCTTAATGTTAGTTTTTGATGTAATCATGTGTCTTTTTTGTTTTTAATCTAAAAATAAAAATGCAATAAGCAAGAAATTGAATCTACATGGATCCTGTCTTAGTTAAAGATATAAACTCCCTGCCTGGTATTTTGTGACCAAGGTGGCCTTTACATTCTCCTTTGCTTAAATAAACTTTAGATAGGCTTCCTTTTTACCTTAGACCCCTGATAGTCCTCTTACCCCTGTCTAGGCACCTAACCAGAGAATCCCTTAGCACTCTATTTCTTCCCCTCATCCCTTTTGGAATCCAGGTAGCTGGAAAAAAAAGAAAGGAAAACCATTTGGAGCCCAACAGCCCTTATTGCAAACTCAGTAACTCACCCATCAATCACTACCCACCCCCAACATCTTTTAGTATTTTCCCACTAGCCTACTCAAGCCCTGCTGTTTTAGCAGAGTTGAGCTCAAACTTAGTTCTAGTCTCATCTGTCCTGTTGCAATAGACTTCTTTGGAAATAAAATCATCATTACCTGTTTTAGCATTGTTAGGTGTGTTTTTTAGTATCTTTGGAAGGAAGATTGTAATTAATTTAGGGCATTTCTAGTCAGATCTTTTCACCTGTGCCTTCTCTTGTTATGGTCACAAATCAGTATGAACATGTGAATGGAATGGGACTGATTTGTAAGGCCCGGTAGGCCAAGGCTAGAGCCCTTGTTACTAGGGAGCTGGTGGCCCCTTTTCATCAGTAATTCAAAGGAAATGCTGCCACCCAGTGTCAAGATGGTAAGCTCCAACTTGGAACAGTAAGATGAGGTATGCAAATTTAAGACTTTAAGTCAGATGACTAGCTTCTAAGTAGTGATATTTGGCAGCAAAATAGAAGATTAGAGAAACAAATTCCAAGTAAATTCATTTTCCCAGCTCTGTTAAGAGTGGAAAATAATGGTTAATGTAATTCAGTGACATAGATTATATTCTTCACATTGTGTAACCATTCTTCCACTCCTTTTCCAAGTTTTTCCTCCCCTGTTAACATAAACTTACTGTTCTCTAGATTTCCTATCAAGTTGCTGTTGTCAATTTATCCCATAGAAATAGTTTGTAAAGGAGCACAATGCTCAAGGCAGACATTACTAGTTAAGCTAAGCTTTTTGTTTAGTTTTAAAACTTCAGGGGACATTTTTGGTTTAAAGTTTAAAGATTATCTCAGGACAGCTTAGGACAGTTTTTTTTTTTTTTTTTAATTTTGTGATTTTGGTGAAAGTTTACAGAGCAAATTCATCTTTTGTACAGCAGTTCACATATACTTTGTTTCATGACATTGACTGTAATCTCCTATAATACAACAGCTCTCTTCAGACATGTTCCCCATAACCCCCTCTTCCCTGTGTCCTTCCCTCCCATGCCCTCATGACCCCTGAGCTGTCTCCCTGTGCGTGCACAGCCTTTCTATTGTCCCATGATTGATCTCTCCAAGGAATGTATCTACCTAATGTGAATGTTCAGCTCATATGTCAGGGCAATAGTTTTTGGGGTTCTTCTTGCTTCCATGGTTTTATAATGTTTGAATTCCATACTCTATTCTGCATTTGCTGCCTTTTAATTGGTATTCTTCTATGGAATCTTAGCTCAAATGTTCAGTAATGGTAGCAATGGCACCATCCAGTTCTGGTCTCATGGTGTGGTAATTCAGTTTGTATGTCAACTTGGCAGGGCCTGGTTGAGTGGCTGGGCAGCTGGTGGTTATTCCCCATGATGAGACTGGCAATCAGCTCCATGGTGGGGGCTACCACAAGCAGCTGAGTAGATGCCTTTGGGATGTGGTCCGCTTCTTGTATAAAAGGAAAAGCCTTGGGAATGGTCTCTAGCCTATGGCACGCTTGGACCCTGCAAGTAGTCATGTCATTGCTCAGCAGCCTGCTATGCTCTGACGACCTTGGGACTTAAAATGGATTTAAGTTAATGGCCTGCCAAGTGGTTTGGTAACATCGGTACTGTGCCTTTTTACTTGTCAACTTTGGGGCTTCTCAGTCTCAGTAGCTGTCTGAGTGAAGAAATTCTTCTAGCTCTAGTGGGCCGGGAGCAGGAGGTAGAGCTGGACCCCACGGTTGTGGGGCTTTCACCTAGCCTCTAGAGCCTGGCACTTTGACAGGAACTATCTAAGGTGGAAACCTGTCAGAGAAAGAAAACTCAAATATTTTCCACTAATGGTGAGTGATAGAAAAGTGGTAAGGCAGACGACTTGCAAGACCCAGAAAAACAAAGCCATTTCAAACATTCTGGCTCTCACAGAGCCGTACTAGGAAACCAGAACACATGACAAATAAGGTAATTGAGTAGGGGAGGTAATTAGCCACACATTCCAATTCTCCCTTCTATTCCTGATTCTTTTCTCTGTTGCTCCAGTCGATTATAGAGCAATTGTTTGGCTTTGGTTGGCCACTTGTAAGCTTTTAAAATTGTAGGCACTGCAATCTACCTAGGAGGGAGAACTGAAGCACTAAACAGTTACTTGGCCAATTAACTGGAATGTCCCATGAAACCATGACCCTAAACCTCCAAACCAGGGAACCAAGTCAGTCCCATGAAGTGTTTGGTTGTATATAAGCAGATGCAGCAGCTATTTTTGTTGTCACTGTAAATATATCTACCCCAACTTTTGTGAATTCAACTTTTTACAGGTATACAGCTTATCTACAGCAATTACAGTGATCAGTTGTACAACCACATTCTGAATCAATGAGATTTTCCCATCATAAACTGAAACTCTGTGTTCCATAAACAATAATTTCCATCTTCCTCCCTCCCTCCTGCCCCATCACTAAACTTTGGTCTCTCTACATTTGCCTATTGTCTTTTACTGTAAGTGAGGTCATATAATACTTGTCCTTTGGTGATTGATTGTTTTACTCAGCACATCTTCAAGCTCCATTCATATTGTAGCATGTCTCAAGACTTCATTTCTCTTACTGGCTGAATAGTATTCCATTCTATGGATGTACAATAAACCCCACGAAAGCTGGAACTGTCTAAGGTGGAAACCTGTCAGAGAAAGAAAACTCAAATGTTTTCCACTAATGGGGAGTGATAGAAAAGTGGTAAGATTAAACCTTGTCAAAGGCAGAAAACTAGCAAGACCCAGAAAAACAAAGCCATCTCAAACATTCTGGCTTTCACAGGATTCACTGTACCACATTTTATTTATCCATTCATCCATTGATAGGCATTTGTTTCTACCTTTTGGCTATTGTGAATAAGGCTACAATGAACATGGTGTTAAACATCTCTTTTTGAGTCTGCTTTCAATTCTTTTGGGTATATACTAAGAGTGGAATTACTGGGTCATATGGTAGTTTTATTACTACATTTTGAGGAAATAACACTGTTTTCCACTAGCAATGGATAGGGGGTTCAAATTTCCTGAAATCCTTGCCAACATTTTTTTTTTCCTTATTCTTTTGGGTTATCCCAAAACCAAAACCAAACTCACTGCCATCAAGTTGATTCCGACTCATAGCAACTCCCTTTTGGGTTTCTGAGGTGATAAATCTTTATGGAAGTAGATTGCTCTGTCTTCCTTTTGAGGAGTGGCTGGTGGGTTTCAACTGCCAACCTTCTGGTTAGCAATCAAATGCCTTAGGCATTATGCCACCAGAGCTCTAGGGGCCATCAAATCAAATCTGACTCATAGCGACCTCATGCACAACAAAACACTGCCCAGTCCTGCACCATCCTCACAATCATTGCTATACTTGAGCCCTTTTTTGCAGCCACTGTGTTGATCCATCATGTTGAGGGTCTTCCTCTTTTTGGCTGACCCTCTACCAAGCATGATGTCCTTCTCCAGGTACTATTCCCTCCTGATAGCATGTCCAAAGTACGTGAAGTCTTGCCATCCTCACTTCTGAGGAGCGTTCTGGCTGTACTACTTCCAAGACATATATGTTTATTTTTCAGGCAGTCCATGGTATATTCAATGTTCTTTGCCAGTACCATAATTCAAAGGCATCAATTCTTTGGTCTTTATTCATTGTCCAGCTTTCCCATGCATATGAGATTGACAATACCATAGCTTAGGTCAGTCACCCTTTAGTCTTCAAAATGACATCTTTGGTCCTTGACACTTTAAAGAGGTCTTTGCAGCAGATTTGCAGCAGTTTCCAATGCAATATGTTATGTGATTTCTTGACTGTTCCTTCCATGGACGTTGATTGTGGATCCAAGTAAAATGAAATGCTTGACAAATTCAGTATTTTCTCCATTTATCATGATGTTGCTTATTGGTTCAGTTGTGAGGATTTTTATTTTCTTTATGTTGAGGTGTAATCCAGACTGAAGGCTGTAGTTTTTGGTCCTTATCATTAAATGCTTCAAGTCCTCTTCATTCTCAGCAAGCAAGGTGTCTTCTGTATATCACAGGTTATTAATGAGTCTTCCTTGAATCCTGATGTGTTGTTTGTCATATAGTCCAGCCATCCCAGAGGTAGTGAAATAATATCTTGTGGCTTTGATTTGTATCTCTCTGATGGCTAATGAGGGCGCTCTGGTGGTGTAGTGCCTAAAGCATTTATTTGACTGCTAGCCAGAAGGATGGTGGTTCAAACCCACCAGCCACTCCTCGGACAAAAGATTAGGCAATCTACTTCTGTAGTGATGTTGTTGTTGTTGTTATTTGCCGTCGAGTCGGCCCCGACTCATAGCGACCCCTCCTTGGGTTTCCGAGGCAGTATCACTATGGAAGTAGGATTGTCCAACCTTCCTTCCGAGGAGTGGCTGGTGGATTTGAACCACCAGCCTTCTGGTTAGCAGTCAAGTGCCTTAGGCATTATGCTACCAAAACTGCTTTGGAAACCCAAGGAGGACTCGCTATGAGTTGGATCTGACTCCACGGCAGTAAGTTTGGTTTTTTGGTTTTGTATGGCTAATGATGCTGAGCCTTTTTCCATGTGTTTGGTGGCCATGTGAATATCTTCTTTGGTGAAATGTCTATTCAAGTCCTTTGCCCATTTTATAATTGAGTTATTTGTCTTTGTTGCTGAAGTTTTATATATATTTTTATTATTAGATTGTTATTG